TTCAGGTTACATGTTCTTTCTCACTAGTCCCACCACCTTCTCAATGTGGGATTCTAGCAATAAATGGGTGCAGAGGTAGGTATGCTTTTGAAGTTAATATTTTCCTCCCGCCCTTCTTCATTACTAAGAGCCGGTGTTAGAGACTTGGATTGAGTCAGTCTCAAAAAAGTAATAAAAGTTATCTGAATGAGGTGTTTATATACAGTACGAGGATAGAGGATGCATTGATGTAGGTAGAGAGTGTTACGAGATATATATTGCCAAGGGCAATTTAGGAGGGGTGTAAAAGATTGGAGCAAGTGAGAAAAAAAACAGACCAATGTTGAGATGGGCAAAGTTGAAACCCTGGCTGTCCAGTAATAACTATAAGTATGAGAGGAGGTAGGTATTATTGGAAATATATTTTCAATTTAGGAAAGTGTTAACTTATTGTGTGATTTAAAAATGAACCACTAGAAAGTTATAGAAAAGTTATAAAAGGATACAGATTATTATGTTTAAATCTGATGTAGTATGTGACTCAATTCTTTGTAGAACAAAGTATTCCGTTATGTTTTCAAATACTAAGTAGGTTCAAAAGTAACATAAATCTTTGTGTAAAAGATTCCAATTTACAAAACAAAAAATGCTTCCATGATAGTTTTAAATAGCTAATATAATGTTTATTGAAGTATTGTAACAATAGATCAAATATTTAATCTTCGATTCAGGCAGGTTTACCTCTGAAATAAGCCTTTCCTTGTTGTATTTGAAAAACTGCTGTCAACATAACGTGACCCAGTTTTTGAACGACTTCTACTTTGTTGGATACGTCACTTACCCTTAATATTTAGATCAACTGATGCGTGCACTAAACATAAGCTCATCTTTTTTCTACCAAAAAAGCAGACTTTTTATTCATGACAGCATGTTGTTCACATCATGTGATCTCTTGCATCCTCATTCTTTCACAATCTGTTTAAAGCTTTTTGTTAATGGTATCAATGAATACCTCAACTTTGTCCTCAGTGGGAATTGAGTGTAGTTTTAAGTCATCTGGCATTGTCCCCTTTTGAAGTCTCGGCAGTATATTCTTTATACCATATCATATTTTTATCTTTGGATTTCGTTTGGCTCAATGTAACTGTAATAGTGAGTTTTTGTATTGTTGCTTCATCAGCTAACCACCTGTTGATCACTGTTTTCAGAGTATATGGTTTTTGGCTTCTGTTTTTTTTGTTCTTAAATTTCTTTTCAGTCCAGATGCTCAAAAGCTGTTTCTTTATGATATAGGTTTATACTATAATTATAAACTGCAACTTATACATGAATTTGATTTTCAGAAGAAGCACTACAAATTTTATGCTACTAATAATTTTTGGTTAAATTACATGAAACCTTTGCCAGCAATATTGTTACGCTACGAACCCATTACATATTTTTTTATGTAATTTCATAATGCACCTAAGAACACAGAATAATAAAATGCAAAAGGCAAACAACATTCTATAACTATCATGATTGTTTTCTGGCTTTCTAACCATAAGATAAGAGCAGTTAACAATTCAGCTAAGCTTGTCGAGGTGTTTCCCGCGAAAAAGAAGTTTAGAACGGGAGGTGAAATAGACAGTTATCAGTACAAAAAACAATGTAATATAATACATCATTTGATAGATCAAAACTGTAACTTTCTATTGGATGAATTTTTGGAGAGTAAAATTTAGGAGGAGCAAGTTATAGAAACAAAGTTGAGTTTAGAATACTTGAATAAATGAATGAAGTATTTTTGTCTTCCATTATCACAAAAAATTATTGGAAAATAGTAAATTAAAAACAAAATGTTTCTTTTTTTACTTTTATATTTTATGATGTTTTTCTTTAAAAAAAATTACTATGAAATAGCACATGGAATATATGTGAATGTTTTCATGTAGCCTACTGTTAACTTGACAACAGCTGTGGTTTATACATGAGCCTACCGTTAACTTGACAACGGCTGTGGTTTATACACGAACCTACCGTTAACTTGACAACAGCTGTGGTTTATACACGAGCCTACCGTTAACTTGACAACAGCTGTGGTTTATACACGAGCCTACCGTTAACTTGACAACAGCTGTGGTTTATACACGAGCCTACCGTTAACTTGACAACAGCTGTGGTTTATACATGAGCCTACCATTAACTTGACAACAGCTGTGGTCTTATACATGAGCCTACCGTTAACTTGACAACAGCTGTGGTTTATACATGAGCCTACCATTAACTTGACAACAGCTGTGGTTTATACATGAGCCTACCATTAACTTGACAACAGCTGTGGTTTATACACGAGTTTGTTTTTGTTTTGTAATATTGACTTTTAGAAGGTGTGGTTTATTATTGGAAAATTATGGTAAGACCAAAAATCCTGTCTTAATTAATATTAACTTCTGATCAAAGGCAGCAGATCAAAACTAAAAGTATACGTATACACGTAGTGTTATAAACGAGTATAGGTAATTAAATGTCATGTTTAAACTCTTTTACTTCTAGTGTTGTTTTATCAGTTGGATACCCTTATTGTTTAACTTATTCAATGAACAAAACTTATCATTTTTCTCTCGTGTTGGCATCTTTAAAAGATAGAAGAATTCTCGAACTTTTCACATAAAGTATGGAGTTCTTTATATCTATCTTTTGAAGGATCGAAGTTAATTTTCAGTTGTAGCACTAAAAATAGTTTATTTTTATTTCATAATTTGCTACTTAGACTTGCAACTTTCAGATATTTGCAAGATGGTGCCCATATTATTTTTGTATTAATTTTTTTACTGTTATTTTTCCTTGCATCTTTACTATCTAAAACTTCTTTGGTTGTATATTATATGTCCTTGTACTGATTGTTAATATTCCAGCAAAACCCAATTCAGGTTGCTTCATAGGATTTCTGAACTTGGGATAAAATACCTTTGGGTGTCAAATTCTGAGTGTGAAATTTTACAATGTGAGCATGAACACTTAAATTATTAAGAGTTACATTACTGATGTAACAATTACACTTTGCCTTATTACCATAGAGACACCCTGTTTTACATCTGTTTAAGATATACACATATTGTGACTTTGGTAAAAAATAAAGATCTTTTTTTCTTTGGCATTTGAAGTAATCTGATTACTTGAAACTGGTAAAAGTTGCCAGTTTTCACCTCTAAAACAAATGTATGTAAGTCTGGGTAAACTTTCCTTATTATAATAATCAGGCTGGTTTGTTTTCAAAGATGCAACAAGTAACAGTTCATGATCAATTATTGACTGCGTTACAATTAAGCTGCTTGATAATTTGGTTAAAAGAGTGTTTCTTTTAGTTGCAAACTGTGTAGGTATGAATCTCGAACTAACCACCTGACAGACGACAAATTATGTAAATCAATCAGATCTAACTCTCCAAGTTCATTGATGGTTGAGTGACAAAGAGAAAACCTTGCAACATTAAAGAGTTCAGCTGCTGTGTTTACATGGGTCCAGCCAAATTGTAATGTAACCTAGCTCCTGCCTCAAATTGTAAATGTGTTTGATATCTGCATTTACTCTTAACCCATTAACTGCGGCAGGAGCAGCTCAGTTGCCATTTTCTGACTCACAGATAAAACCGAGTTGCCATCATTCACAATAAAATGTAATTTTTGTCATTCGCGTAGTTATATATATGTGCAACTGACGGATATTTCCGTCATTCGCAGCTGAGCCATAGAACTACAATAACGGAAATATCCGTCATCTGCAGTTAATGGGTTAAGTCATAGTAGCATTAGAACACTAAAATTAACTCACTGTTTAGATGTGCGGCCATTTTGACAGCCTTGTAACCACCGTGAAATTATACATACTATAACTTTACCTTCATGAAATGTAAAAAGCAAGTCTATTATACATAAAAAAGTCACATTTTTTTACTAAAGCTTTGTCTACAAACTTATGAAGCCATCATCGTGTCAGTTTAGTGAAGGGTAATTTTTTATGCTAAGAATATAAGTACTTCTTTCAATCCTAATGTTTTCATATTTCATAACCTCCTAAATGAATATTATAATATTTTTGTTTATTTTCTTTGCCTTAACACTAATTGTAGCAAAAATCATCTGTAGTGAAAGTTCAAAAATATGAAATAAAATCAACTCATGGTCATGAGTGATGTCTATGTTCCTCAAGCATTACTCATTTTTTTCATTTAAATTCTTTTATCCAACCTAATAAGTTTTTAATTTTTACATTTTGATTGTTTCTGTTAACAATTATATAACAATAATGAAAAAATATATATACATAAAAAAAAGTAAATTTTGAACTCACCTTAGCTTTATACCAGTTTGCAATCAAGAGCCTGCTTCGGAATCCAATTTTTTTTCCTACTATGCTTGTACATTCAGAGATAGATATGTTGGTTCAGCCACAGGAAAAATAAATTAACTCTCTCAATTTAGGTGGGTCATAGTGCATACGGTACAATATTGTTTACAGGTATATCTATTTCAAATTTAATTAAATAATTTTATTATCAATGTATGTCCAATTATTCGTATAGCTTTCAAATGTGAATTTCAGAAAACATATCACTCACTTGATTAGATTGTAAGATAACTACTGTAAATTACTAGGCTTTCTGACTAACCTATAAATTTGTTAAATTTCATTTCTACTTCTTGGATCAACATCTTTGATCCAAACTTATTAAGCTCCTATGGAAAATTATCGACTTTTATGGCTCAAACAAAATGGACGATTGTGTGATTTACATAATGTACAGTTTGGTTTTCCCTCTTGGTAAAGAACAAGACAAATAGACTTTTTTCTTTCCCTGAAAGACAGAATGTGATAGGAAGGATGTGATATATAGTTTGGCTTTCTTGTGTCCCAAAAATCGTAGTTACACAACTGGTAAATCATGAAGTACACTACACAAATAGTCAACTTGTAATAAATATATATTAATTTTAACTGTTTAAATACTTTGTTGAAAGTTGATAATGATAATAATGCAGCAATTAATATCGTTTGTAAAATTATCAAGAACTAAACAGTAGCTTTTTTATTTTGTACTGTGATGGATATGACATGTCACTAGACTTTTGGTTCACCGATGGGACAGCAGTGAATCTACGGACTTACTACACTAAACTCTAGGTTTCATTCCCCCGTTGTGGCCACAACAGATAGCCCCATGTGGCTTTGTTCAAAAACAACAAATTTTCCTGCATATATCTCGTTAAAACATGGAACTTATAAACTTACATTATGGCTTAGGGTAGAAATGAAATCTAAAATGAGCAAGTCGTTTTTAAACATCCTTTTGAAACTAAGAAATTAAAACATATTAAATCATGACTTATAACCTGTGTTTTTATGTCAGATTTATTGATAATAAAGTTGTTTAATTAAATTTAAAATGGATATTTGTAAACAAGGCTGTGATGCTTGAACTGTGACCCACCCAAATCGAGAGAGTTGATACATTTTGCATTTC